AGCTTTAGAAATTGTACAAGCAGAAACAGATTTTATTTTACAACAATAGAAAAAAATAATTACAAATACAAAACAGGTTGAGCAGAGTAAGTAAAGACAGTAGTAGAGTGAAAACTATGGTCAGTTTGTCCTCCAGCAGTCTAAGCCTATAGCAGCATAACTAAGCGACAGCTCATTAAACCCAAGCTGACCCCAGCTATAGGATTTAGCAAAAAGGAAAGTCTTAAGCCTAGTTTTAAAACTGGATAATGTGTCAGACTCACGGACAGAGATTGGAAGTCGGTTCCATAAGAGAGGAGCCTGATAACTAAAAGATCTGCCTCCCATTCTGTTTTTGTAAATTCTAGGAACCACAAGTAAACCTGCAGTCTGAGAGCGAAGTGCTCTGTTAGGAAAATATGGAACAATAAGATCTATAATATAAGATGGAGCCAGGTTGTTGAGCGCTTTCTAGGTTAGAAGTAAGATTTTGAATTATATTCTGGATTTGACAGGGAGCCAATGGAGAGAAACTAAAACTGGAGAGATATGATCTTTCCTACTAACTCTAGTTAAGACTCTAGCAGCAGCATTTTGGATCAACTGAAGACGTTTTAAGGAAGTATTTGGACATTCAGATAATAAACCATTGCAATAGTCCAGTCTAGACGTGACAAATGCACGGACCAATTTAACTGCATCATTTTTAGATAAGATGTTTTTAATTTTAGTGATATTACACAGATGGAAGAAGGCAGTTCAAGTAACGTTTTTAATATGGGGAATAAAAGACATGTCCTGATCAAAAATAACACCAAGATTTTTAACATTAGAGCTGGAGGACAGCTTAATGCCATCTAAGGAGGGAGAAAGACTGAAAAATTCATTCCTAAGGTGCACAGGTCCAAAAACCAAAACCTCAGTCTTGTCTGTGTTCAAAAGCAGAGAAGAGTCCATCCATCCATCCATTTTCTTTACCTGCTTGTTCCATTTTGGGTCACGGGGGTCACCGGTGCCCATGTCCAGCAATCACTGTGCGAGGGGCGGGGTACACCCTGGACGGGTCGCAAGTCCATCACAGGGCCACATAGAGAAAAATAACCATTCACTTTCTCACTCACACCTATGGACACTTTAGAGTTACCAATCAGCCTAACATGCATGTTTTTGGTCTGTGGGAGGAAACCGGAGTACCTGGAGAAAACCCACGCATGCACGGAGAGAACATGCAAACTCCACCCAGAAAGGCCCCTGGACCGGGGTTTGAACCAGGGACCTGCTCGCTGAGAGGCAGCAGCTCTACCAGTTGTGCCACCGTGCTGCCCCAGAGAAGAGTCATCCAGGTCCATCCACAAGTCCATTGTCTGAGGCCATGAGAATATCATTAGTGACTTTTACTAGTGCTGTTTCTATGCTATGATGAGCTCTAAACCCTGACTGAAACTCTTCAAACAGATTATTTCTTTGTAGATGTTCACGCAACTGACCTGCAACTATTTTCTCTAGAATTTTTGAGATGAAAGTTAGATTAGATATAGGTCTACAGTTGGCCAGAATTTCTGAATCAAGGTCAGACTTCTTAAGTAAAAGTTTAATTACAGCAACCTTAAAGTGCTGTGGTACATAACCATTCATTAAAGACAAAAATAAGTAGATCCAAAATGTGGACATTAATTAGGGGAAATACCTCTTTAAACAGTCTGGTTGTGATGGGATCTAGCAGTCATGTGGATGGTTTGGATGAGGTTATTATTTTTGACAATTCAGAGAGCTCAACAGGACAAAAACTGTCCAAACATAAATCTGGCTCTAGTGAAATTTTTAAAGTTGCCTCATTTGACAGGGGAGTAGAGATAGTAGAAGGAAGGATGGTTTGAATTTTCTCTCTAATTGAAATAATTTTATTTATAAAGAATCTCATGAAGTCGTCACTACTTATAGTTGTAGAGCTACATGGTTCAACAGGAATGGGACTTTTAATTAGTCTAGCAACAGTACTAAACAGAAACCTAGGGTTATTTTTATTCTCCTCTATTAAAGATGAGTAATATAAAGTTCTAGTGTTACGGAGAGCTTTCTTATATGTTAGCAGACTATCTTTCCAAGTTAAATAAAACTCTTCAACATTAGTAGAGCGCCATTTTCTCTCCTGGTTTCTAGATGCCTGCTTTAAAGTACGTAACTCAGAATTGAACCAAGGAGCCAGTTTCCTCTGATTGATTACTTTTGTAGCGGGAAGGGTTAATAATAGTTAAAATTCGTTATAAATTTTATTTTAAAGGGGCACCACTCTCAGCTCTGAGAGAATGTCTTAAGGTCTGAACATTAATTCAGATATGTAATTAATTACACATTACACCAGAGGTTAGAGAGGTGGGCTTGTGATCCGAAGATCGCCGGTTCACGCCCCAGCCCCGACAACATCAAAATAAAATTGTGGGTGGGGTAGGTGAAACACCCACACTTGCCCCCACCCTCATTCGCCCCACTCTGGGCCCATGAGCAAGGCCCTTAACCCCCACCATGTGCTCCCTAAACAGGTCTCTCTTGAAAATGAGTTCTCGTGGCTCAATGAGACTAACCTGTATAAATAAAGGCTAAATGAAAAAAAAAACAACAACAAAAAAAAAATTACCTCAAATTACCCTTTTACACCGTGAGTTCTTTTATATGAAGGATTCAGATATCATAAGTAAAACACGCACGCTTTAATACGATTTTGTGATGTTTATTAACTATGTATGAAAAAAACAACTGTTGGCAATTATTTCTGACATTTAAAATGAAGGCTTTGTTCAGCAGGGCAGATTAATCATGCAACTTTTACTAAAAGAAATACGTTTTATCGTTCAATAGTTAAATTTTGGTCTGAAATTTAAAGAAAAATAATTACTGAACTGAATTAATTGGTTAAAATCTAAAT